CTACATCACTACTGCAATATATAACTAAGCTCCACGTACTTGAGCAAGCTCCTTGATCACTCCCAACACTGTGTATTTCTTCTACTCTCTTTTATTTTCTAATTCTTCTCTCTACATAGAAACTATAGGGTAAATATCAGTTTACTAGCCTCAAGTTTTGCGGTTTTCAACATTTGGTAGATGAAGTTTTTTTTCGTTCCAGAGTCATACCTAAAATGTTAATTTCGGGATAGTCTTAAGTCTTCCGTTAACTGATGACATGGCGCCCATGTGGATAATGACTGGATGCCACGTGTCATTAAAGGGTCCACGTGGAAATTAAATTTTCAAAAAAAAAAAAAAAAAAAAAAAATTCCCTCCCTTCTTTCCTCTGCAACCCTACCCTCCCTCATCTCTTCTGATCTATAGCCTGCCTCAGCTCCCCCAAATTGTAAAACACCTACAGCCTAGTCCCCATCTCGGCCTGGTTCAAACCTTCCATCCCTCTCTCCTCTGTACGCAACTGGTCTCCAGTCTTTTTGACATACTCGAGTTCAGAATCGACCACATCAATGCCGGTGAGGTCGTACTCGTTGTAGAGAGCTGAGATCTCGCAATGGAGTTGAGTGGCCTTGGCGAGATCGAGCCGCTCGGGGTCATCGGAGGTGAGGGATCCGAGTTTACTAAAGAAGCGGAGGGCTCTATTAGAGTAGTGGAGAAGATCGAATGAGGCATGGATTTTGGAGTTGGATGGTGAGGGTGCGGATAGAGGCGAATGGGTCGGAGAACTCGGATCGGGTGTGGTGAATGAAGGACTGGAGGGCGGCAACGGAAGATCGTATGGTGGAGAGGGCAGAGAGCTGGGCGTGGTGAAGGGAAGAGAGTTGGGCGAGGGGGTCAGAGTGGCGGGAGAGGACCTCGGAGCGGAGAGAATGAAGGGTACAGGTTGCAGAAGGGAGGGAGGGAGAGGGTTGGGGGAGGTAGAAGACGGGTGGGTTTTGTTTTTTGTTTGTTTTTTTTTTTTTGAATTTTTAATTTCCACGTGGACTCCCTTAATGACACGTGACGTCTAGTCATTGTCCACATGGGTGCCGCATCATCAGTTAACGGGAGACTTAACAGCCAGACTAACGGATATATGAGACTGTCCCAAAATTAACACTTTAGGTATGACTTTAGAACGAAAAAAACTTCATGTACCAAATGTTGAAAACTACGAAATCTGAGAGTAGTAAACTGATATTTATCCTAAACTATATATATACTATGCGTGCATAACTACCATATGCAACGTGCCTGAGAGATATGAAAAGATGATATAAAAATTTCTATTCAAAGTGCAACTATTTATAGGAAAAAAAAAAGGAACTTTAATGAAAAGTTGGGGTATTGTTTATTTTAATGAAAATTCATATTTTTACACAAAAAAGTCAATTCTAATATTATTTATTTTATCCTTTATTTTATCATTATTGTTAAAACTCAAAACTTTCAAACTTTTTTCTTAAAAAAAATAATAATAAAAAAAAAGTCAAGATTGGAACCTAAGCCTAGACTTTTCGCAACTATATAGACTGCTTACAGAGCAATCTAAAACCACCCTGATTGCCACCTGCAGCCATAGACTCTCCACGACAGCTACCGCTTCACTTTCCGAGTCATTCCGCGCTTTTTTATTTTATGTGGTCATGGTTAAGTCATGTCAACATTTTATATTATTTTTTTATCGAGATAATGAGACAAAAAAGAAGAAGAATAATAATAATATAAAATATTAACGTGACTTAATCGTGACCACACAAATAAAAAGACATGAGAAATGGAAGGGCAGAGAATCTGCCTACCTCCACGACACCCGTAGTTCCTTCACCTCCTGCTTAGGCTTCCACCGTTTTCTAGAAAACCTCCACCTCCCAGTTGCATAGCCTACACTAGTCAGCAAAATAGGGTATTGGAAAAATATTATTTTATGAAAGGGATAAGTATAAGGAGGCAGATGATACTAAGAAGAAATTTCTCCTTGTCGATTAGAAGATTAAAAAGAGAGGTCTTTGTTTTTTGTTTGGCCCTTTATAAAAGGTTGGGCTAAGTTAAAATAAAACAAAGCTAAAACTATTTCCTATTTGAAATTAACAATAACAATAAATTAAATTTTGGATTTCTACAAATTTCAACCAGAATCTAATTCTAATTTTACTTTATTCTAATGTTTCCTCAACTTAATTTCTCTTATTTTGATTACGAATTTGTAAATGAACCATTAGAATAATATTAAGTAAACTAACTTTTTAAGTCAAATTCTCTTTAACACAAAACTCCTATTAAAGCTGTAAGAAAATTTGAAAAATGAGGGCTAAAAGTCATTGAGTAGATTAAAAATTCTCGGTTTTCAAAATTTTCCGCAGCAAGCAAGTAAATTTTCCTACTTTGATGGTTGTCTTCAAAGTTTAGCCCACCTGAATTTTATATCCAGGATACGTCCTTCTTTCAACGTCTCAACTATTCAAATGTCTCCAATTTACTTACATGTTTGAATCTTTAGTCTTCCAAGCAAGCAACATGTATCTTCTCAACTTGCTAAGAAATGTTTCAGTTTTTTGACTTTTTTGGGTAAACATATCTCTTGACAAAAACTAAGGAAAATGTTCATATACATGTCATCTAAACAATTTTCTCAAAGAAAGCAAATATATAATTTTCTTTTCATTCCATAATACCACTCAACGGCGGAGCCACGTCAAAAGCTACGGTGGGCTGTAGTTTAGGAAGGATTTGTGGCAATATGTATGTACTTTAGTGTATGGTATAATATAATAGACGAAGAAAGTGCAATAAGAATTATTTTCTAATGAAACTAGCCCAGTACATATTTAGCACAACTAAAAATATAAAAATTATCATGAAAATTGTGATGTCATTTTGTTCAAGTTATGCTTTGATTCGGTTGGCTTTATATTATTTTCAATCAATTTTTTTTAAGATTGTCTTTACTTCTACTTTCATTGTTTTGTTTTCTGCTAGTTGTGAAGTTGTAATTGAGATAGTTAATGTATCAAGTTTTCTACCTTCTTTTTGTATTTGCATCTAGATACATGTGAAACTGGATGGTTTATTGTATTTTTTATAGTTTGCAATTGCGATGCTTATTGAGTTTATGACAAGCAGATTTTAAAGTATACAAATACAAAAGTTAAACTTAAGCTTTTGTATACAACACGTAAGTAACAAAAAATATCATTTAATTTTAGGGTGATTTTTTTTTCTTTTGAGCTAGTCTACCCATAAAAAAGTTTATGGCTTTGCCCTTACCACTCTCAATAAATGTAGTTTTCACACCCATATTTTATTGATTTCAAAATCCTTTTTTTTTTTTTTTTATAATGGAAAATTGGAAAAGAGGATCAAGGTATAAAGCAAAACATAAGTGTGATAATTGTTACCTTAATATATTACATGCACACAAGGAAATCCAGCCTGACCCAACCTACTCATGCTATCGATGTGGAGGCATCAATTTAGTTCCTGTGGGTTTTTGAGGATCAAAAGAAATTGTTAGAATTCCATGAAAAAGTCTTGGGAGCTAAGATGCATGCGAGTTTCAAACGACCATAAAACCCTAGTTGTTCTTGCCCTAGGTTTTCCAACTTCCTCAGCCGACCTTTCTCTCTTTTCTATGGTGTTTTCATAGTTGTCCGGGCCTAACACCACTCACTTTCTCAAACTTAATCAAACTACCTTCTATGGCTTAATCAACTTAAGCCCTTCCTCGTTGGTCATGACCCTTGGGCTATAACTATTAGGATTCCTAAGTAGGAAGGAAATCTGGTTGCAATATTTGTAGAAATGGAATTCTAATTAGGATTTTATTCTTTCAAGATTAGTCTAAAGTAGAATATCATTCTATTAGGGTTGTAGAAATGCACTTGTAGATTTTTCCTTTTGTCTCGGGCCATTGTATGACAAATTACATGCATTGTTCTAAAAATCCTCGCCGAGCACCTTTTAGGCACTAGACGGCTGACAACCGCCCCGATTAATGCCTAGGTATTTGAAAATTAAGAAAGGGCCCCTAGACTTGCTGAGGCACCTGCCTAGCTCGTCCAGGCACCTGCCTAGGTTGCAACTCACTTAAACAGAAAACTGATAATTTTCATTTTGCATTTTATTTTTTTCAATAAATTGTAAGAGACTTGTTGAATACTTAAATGAACATACTTTATATGCTTGTTTCCCATATTTTTATTATGTTCCAATACGTCATAATATATAAGTCATTCTATTTTGTAGTTTTAAGTATAAATAAACACTTATTTACACGAAATATAATAGATTTACTTAAATCCACCTAGTCCGCCTAAGCGCCCGCCTAGCCGCCAAGACACTAAGCCCCAGTCCGCCGTTCGATTAGTGCCTAGCGTCTTTTAGAACCTTGATTGCAGGTAGTTGTACTTGTAAGTAAGGTTTTATATGCAATATGCGTTGTAATACTAACACCTAACGTAGAAGAATTTTAAAGGAAAACAAGAACAAGTTTCAACATTACCATCTCTTCTTCTGTCCAGGACTTCAAATGCAATGTTTGCACACACCTTAGAAAAACCTTCAGCGCGATAAAAAAAAAAGAATTGCAACAACCCAATAAGAAAGTAGGTCTGGAAAACTACCCTGCCTCAAGGCACCCGCGATCGTCTTTAAAGGCCAATTGGCGCGCACATGAGTGCATGCCTAGAAGCTAGTTACAAATGAAATTAGATCGGTGTGAGCTTCAAATGTTTTTTTTTTTTTTTTTTTTTTTTTAAACAAGAAACAAATTACAAATAAGATCCTTGACGGATCGTTATACCAAACATATTAGCATTTATTAGCAAACCAGACACATGAATGATCATATTTATGTCCTAGCATAGCAAATCCATCAAGCTCCTACTGACAGATCCAAAAGCAACTTACTGCATTTGACCAAAATGTGAAAGTTCTTTAGGTTTATAAAAGCACTTCTTTATGAAGCACTCCCAAAGATATATTCCAAGGAAAACTAGAATTTTACTAAAAAGTTCGACTTACTGCAATAAAGTGCACTCCGTTGGATGAACCTTTAAAATTGTATATAAAAAAAAGACCAGTTTGAAAAACCAAAATCATCACTCTAGGAATGGATTGTCGGAAACTAATTTTGCCACACCAGTTCTAAGTTATAAATACACATGAAGTTTCGAAATGTCTCTACGCAAGCAAGTGTGCTATACAACCATCCTTAAGCAACTGAGCATGAAATAATTAAGCTCTCTGAATATGGCAGTGCTCCAGATATAAACCCACTCCTTGCACTCGTCAACTTATTGGCGACCTCCTCCTGCAATACGAATTTCATAAGATTAAAAGGGAATGATTTCTGATGCAATCCATACATTATATGCTAGCCTGAACCGAATGGATATGCTCATACTGTCAACAAGGCCACAGTAATTAACACACATCACTTTGGTTCATCGCCATTGATACATACATTTTAATTTTGAAGGGGTGGAGGTATAATAAAAACACATGGTTAAGATGTCTGAATTTTAATACCTCTTGGTTCGGGTTCGATCTTCTTCATAGTCCATTAGTCCAGCTGTTTCACCAAACAGAATGTCATCAATGGCTTGGAAGTCTCGCCCACCCTGTGCCAAGTAAGTAAAACAAGTTGACCAATATATATCACAACCACGAAAATTTCTCCCTCACTCCCTCCCCAGGGCATTTTAGAAGTTCATGAAAAAGAATCCTAGTTAACCAAGCTTCTGAGTCTCGCCCAAGTAGGTACCCCTAATTCTCACAGCTTTTGATACAGAGAAAACAACAGAAACTGGGATCCGTGGAGGTAAACTTTCTAGAGTTTTTGAAAAAGGAAACAGTTTTAATTGCTTGCCTTCTTATTTGGAATATTTTCTGTATTTTGACAGGTTGAAGTTGTATGAAATTTGTTGTATCTTGGTTCTAGGCTCCTAGCATGCTGCCAAGTTTGATAAAAGCTCTTCTATACAAAACAAAAAGGAAATTTGTCCTTGACATACAAAGGATAGTGGCAGTCCACAATATGGAAACCAAAAACTTAACTAATGCATACCCACAAAGGCATCTCATCTACCTTTTTCTTATATTTCTTTTTTTCATTCCGAAAAGATAGGAGGAAAAGATAAACAACAAAAAGCTAAATAACCGAAAACTCTCAGACACACTAAAGAACCTCTGCCTGCCAGTCAAGCCAAATAAAAGAGAAGACACTAAACTCAGTAGAAATGAAGCCCAGAAAGCTGACAAAAACTGCTCTGTCCCGTTACTCAACCCCTACTCCCACATAATGTTTAAAAATCCTTTATTTCTTTCCAACAATACCACCCATAGCACAGCCAGAACCAAGGACCCCCAGATAAGCCTGGCGGCCCTGGCCTTTTTTTCCTTTATAGGACATCTTATGACTCCAGCAAAGAAAAGAGAAGTAATCCTAGATGGTGCATCACAAATAACACAAAACAAAATTATGACTACATAGGTTGATGATGGATTCAACTTACCTTGTTATTGACAGACTTCTTTACTTCTTCCACCCTGTCCTTGACTGCCTTTTTGTGTATTGCATCCAACTCACACTTTTTATCTGCCCATTTGATCTTCTCTTCAATTGTCAGAAGCGCATTGTTTGTAGTGTCTAGCCTGATAGTTTCAAATTATTACTATAATCATCATCTACTCAAGATTTTTTAAACAGTACTCTTTTCTACATTATGATAACTAAAAAAACGTTTTTGGAACAGAAAATGTCCAGGTAACAATTTGTTTATCATGATGTAAGCTTTTGTTTTCACTTTTCAGTTTTCTAAAAAATTTAAAAAAAAAAAAAATGAAAACGGAAAAGTACTCGAGTTTTCAAGTTTCATTCTTTTGAAAACTGATTAGATGAGAGTGGAAAAAGTGCAAATACACAAAATGAGTGGGAAAAAGACCCACGCCTCACTCATTTAATAAATTAAGGGAAGAATGCAAATACACAAAATGATGAGAGTGGGAAAAAGACCACAGACAGAGTGACCAACTAAATACAGAAATATGCATACCAATCATCTAAAGTCTGTATCAGATTCCCTAGTTGTCCAGGTCTCAAATCCCTCCCAGCTGCAAACTGAACCTGGAAATAAAATGATGATTAAGATAGAACATTGAATCCAAAACATATAGGAAATCATCAAAAGAGTCAAATGTAATAATCAAGGATATCCAACCTCGAAAGATCTTCTCAAATGATCCAACTTCCCTTTGACTATGCCCTATACACAAGACAATGAAAGATTAGCCTTTTTCAGCTTGCAACCTTTTCAGTATTTCCTTATTACTGGCTTGAAAGAAATCATCTCATAAATTGAGAACAAATATATTCTTTTCTTTTAAAACCAATGGAATTTATGACATTTTTTTTTTCTCATTAATGAATAGGGGGCACATACCGCATACATGCAATCATTGATAAGAAAGTCTTCAAGTTCGCGCACATTTGAAAGATCAAGCTGCTCAAGAAGTTGATCGTATGATATTACCTGGTAAAAACAGAAAACTTTAGAAACTGTAGAATACCTACCAACTCAGAAGGTCCATATGTCAGCTATATTACTCTAAGATCAGGAATTTAGGAAGGAAAAGAATGTTCATTGGATATTCAAGACGAAAGGACAGGATACCCACCATGGTATTTGTTTGGATAAGAACATAATTTTATTAATTAGTAAGGAAGAAAAGCTGGACAGAGGTTCAAGGCCGAAGGGGTAGAGGAAGACCTAGAAGAACTTTGGAAGAGACTCTAAGAAAAGACTTAGTACTTGGATCTAACGGAAGACGTGATACACAACCCACCGCAATGGCGTTCTAGGATTCATATAGCCGACGTTGTTGTTGTAGTAAGGAAGAAAAGCTACAGCTACAATCATGGTAATAAGTTCATCATAACCAGTCTAATTATATCAACAGAAAAGAAAAAAGTCCCACTACTCAATTCAAACACCAACCCCCTCCCCTTTAATAAAAATGGAACTAGAAGCTGGAAACTAATTTTATCCCAAAAGGAATTAAACAATCTACCTCTTTCTGACCGAACCCAAAAAGAAGCCCACATCGCACACTGCCAAAGGATAAAGTGATTTTCCCAATACCCCAGCTAGTTTCCACCAGCAACAAACACCCAGATGTTTTGGCAAACTGTGTTTGCTTTTCTAACCTAATCCACCCAATTTTCTCCATGAAATAAAAGGGGCCAAATAAAAAATATTCCAAATCCTTTTGCTTTTCTTTAAAGAAGTCTGGAAACCCTTCAACATGTTATGCATGTGATGAAGGATAAGTTACTGCAGAAGAAGAAAGGTAAATAGAGAAAAAAAAGGGGGATGTGGAAGAGAGAAAGTAGGATAGCAAAGTCAGGATAGTACCCTTAGTTTTTAAATATAATATTAGACTTATGTTACATAAAAGGGACATAACTATTTTATCTCTTTGGTTGATAAAGAGGGTTTTCTTCAATAATAGTGTAGATTATAAGTCAAGTGATGCGTACTATCCTTTGATTATTTTACTTTTCCCTCCGGTTTCCAGCCAACATCAAACTCCCAGAAATCCCTGAGGAAAACTTCTAACAATGATAAAGCTCAGGAAGATATCTTCCACGGCACATAACAAGGGGGTAGTCATTTTATAAACAGCATTTAGAGCCAGCCATGAAATAATTTACCTAAACTTATTAGAATCACTATATATGAGAAGTATTTATTCTTATTTTTGTTTCTAGTTTTAATTTGGTCTTATAGGAGAACCCTATCATGATTCATTTGAGGCAACTTATGTTTGCAAGCGGGCCCACACTATTCCGTAGAGCATATAATGAATAAACTTGAGGAGGCAGCACCACAGCAGCTATAATTTTTTCCGAGGCTCCCTTCCCCTTTTCATCTCTTTGCCCTATCTTTTCTCACCTTCGTAAAATATGATAACCACCAGAAAAGGAGACAACTTTTAGTGCATAATATTGATTTTGAAAGGATCATGGGAGGCTTACCCTATATCAACATTTACTTACAAAAACTTAAAGAGTAAGAATAGTTTCAGTTTCCCTAACTTATGCCTATAATGAATTCCGAGTATTTTGTGCATAAGAACCAACATTTTAGTGGCTGAAGAAGTTCCTACTGCTGCCCGAGCCTTTTCCCATTTATAGAGAAAGAAGCATGCACGTGTGGTTTCCTCACATACCCCAAAGAAGGTCAACAATGGTTTATTCTAGTGGAGGCCGTGGTGGTACAGTGGTAGTGATCACATAGAGCATGGTACCTTTGATATTTGTGTGGCCAATACTGAGAGTCATGGTCATATAGAAAACAGAATGGTCTAAACAGTTTCTGCCAGAGTCACAGAGTATAGGGTAATGAAGAAATAAATGTTCTATCAGCTCTCCTTCAACAATTTAGATAGGCTTAGAATAGACCTCCTAGTTTGGACAATTTTTATGTGATCATTTTTAGTTCTGCCTGTAGTTTCTTTCCTAGTCATGTGAGTAATTTTTGGTAAGCATTTGGGATGCAAAAATTAAGTTCACTAGTAGGTCCACTAAATTTTTATTTTTTTTAGGCCCACTCTCTTTTGTCCTGCTCATATACATAAACTGGAGAGGAATAGCCACAATTTCTTCTGATCCTCCTTCTTCCTCTCTTTTTTATCCCCCAATCTCTGAATCTTTGCTATCTTCATCTAATGCAACTTCCAACTTCACTGATAAAAAAGTTCTAGCCTTACTTTGTCTCAGAATTTCAAAAGCAAGCTTTTTACCACCTAGGCAACAAGACCTTGAGAAATCTCATATGAACATTGATTTGAGAAATACACGAACTAAAGCAATTTCACCCAAAGCCCCTATATTCTACACATGGAAAAATGAGGTAGCTTTCTTTCCTGGCACAAAAGTAAAATATTTGACCATTGTAAGAAATTTTAAGAGATATTAAACTGCATTAGTGTAAGGTGTAAGTTCCATAATCCAATAAGGGACTAGTCGGCAATTTCAAGTAAGATATAACCAGACTGCAACTATAAAAAAAGGGTCCAGCAATAAGAGTATGATATCGAGCTAATTCTTATACCCTGTTCATCTCAGCTAGAGAAAGCACAGTAAGTTGCTTCAGCTTGGTGATTTGATCTGGGACTAGTGGTGGAAGACGGCTAGCATTACCTGCCACTCATTCAGTCAATAAATTTCTCATTCCTAGGTATGTGAAATAAGGAATATAAAAATTTCAAGTGTCACTGCCAATGTCAAAATCCAATGAAACAACTAAAAATATGACTGATCTAAGATCTTATGGCTCCTTAAACAACATCTTGTCCAATACAGAGATAATTTATGTAGTAGTAACATAAGTAGACCTAACAATTTCACATCATTAGATCCCAAACAATCAAATAAACTGAAGCGCTAAGCTGCCTTACACATTGAGCACTAATGAAAGGCAACAGTGGCTTGATAATAATATTGTTGATTGTCCCCATGACGTTGTACAACAAGTACACAATGAACAAGGACAACTTTTAGTTTTGCAGGTAATGTTTGTCAATGTATGCATACCAAGAGGGCTCCTAACACTAGCTGGTCTCTCAGTTATTATGAAGTTGTGTAACATACTGCAATAACTTTGCTATTTACTGAACTAATTTTCATCACTCCCTTCCCGAAGTATTAAAGGTGATGGAATCAAGGTTCAGAAACTCTGCCTTTTTAAGTATATAACCGCAAAATTTTTCTTTTACGTCATAATGAAAGATGGCATGCTATGATGGGATAGAATGCTATTTAAGGAAAAACATATTCATAAAATAGTGTCTTGAATATGTGGTGATACAGAAAAGGAAAAAATACAAAATGACCACATACACAATTAGCTTGGGGAAAATGAAATAGAACAGGCTCCTAGAGTTTGGACATTTCAAATACGATTAATGGATGTACCAGTTCAAAGTAGTGTCTTATCAGTATTTAGTGTAGTATTAAAGTAAAGAGGACAGAAAACATGGGTGGGGATAATTAAAAAATATATAACAGCATCCTACTATTATAATAAATAAGCCCTGGTGGGATAAAATGGATAAGCATGAATAGGTGGGACAAGGCTCTACAATTGTTTAGGTTTATATCAAACCTGCCAGAGGAAAATCAATGTTACCCTTCATTTCCAGAACTATGACGCTTTTCACAGCATATGCAAGCATACCAGAACACACCAAAACATACCAATCACAGTTAGGAGTATGAATCCCACATCAGGTCAATTGGTTTTATGGTGGACCATCAACTTTTAAGTCTCACCCCCCCCCCCCCCTTTTCTTCTCCTTCTCATGTCACATCCACTTCAGAAGCTACCTGTACCGTCTCTGCTTCTTCCATTTCTTCTGGCCCCACATCATCTGCAGTGGTTCCCTCCATCGCCTCTGCTTCTTCTCTCCCTCCAGCCCTAATCTGGCCCACTTTCTTAAGCTTACAGTGACCAATTTTCTTACCTGGGCTTTTCAGATACGCCTGTTTCGCATTGGACATGATTTATTTAAGTACGTCAACAGTTCGTTTCTTGCGCCTGCTGCTCGTCTGCCTGCTTCTGGCGATGCCCCTGCCCAACCTAATAAGCATCTTCAATTGTTCAAGGTTGATCAACTTGTCTATAGCTACTTGGTTTCCACCCTCTCTGAATCTACTATGTCTCTCGTTGTTGGCAAGACTTCTGCCAAGGAGATTTGGAATACACTCCATCAACACTTTTCCCAAGCCTCCCTTGCCAATTCAATGAATCTCTGTTTTTTGTCTTCTTGATATGACCAAGGGCACTCGCTCGATTCATGAATATTTGAAGGGGGCCAAGTCCTTGGCTGATGATTTAGCCTCTATCCATCCGCCCGTCTGACTCAGATCTTCTTCGCGGATTCGGGAAGACTATGTCATGTTTGTGACGTCCATTCTGCAGCTGGATGCTCTTCCTTCCTTCAGTAATTTGCGGGCTCGTCTGCTCACCTATGAGGATCAGTGTAATCGCCTTAATTCTACTGCTCCTGCCCATGCCCTCATGGCTGCCCAAAACCGTCCTCCACCGCAACAGCTGCTTGTCCAGCATCAGCAGCAACAGCAGTATGTTCCCCAGCCATAGTAGCAGCAAGCACCCGCCATGGTGGTTTGGGCCGGCGTTGAGGTGGTTTTCGTCATTGACGTGGTCGCGTGGACGTGGCAATTATCAGCAGGATAATAATTGGGGTCCTCAACCTAATGTGGCTCCTGGGTTCTTGGTGCACCCACTGCAACTCTCCCGGCAACCATTTCACAGCCTGCCCCCACCGTCTTAACATGGCTCCTTGTGCAGGTTTTCAAGCCTTCATAGCGAGTGTCCCTCCTGCTCCACACAAATACTATGATCCCACATGGTACTTAGACACCGGCGCAACCCACCACATGACTTGTAATGGTGCTAATCTTCAGGACTCGACATCTTATAATAAATACAAATTTCAATTCTTTTTTCTTGAATATATTATTACCCCCACAAAAAAAAACTAATGTCGGCACTCCAAAAGAAGAATCCCACCACATCCATGCAACCAATTTGCTGGCAGTATGAATCCCACATCAGGGAAACAAGGAACCTTGTATGTTCTTATAAGTAATGGGCTACTACTCATATTGCCAATTGGTTTTATGGTGGAACCTAAACTTTCTTCATGGTATCAGAGCATATTGTCTCTCATGTAAAGCCCAACCGCCACACGTGCTCTACCTCACTCAATTTGTGTTGTCCACATACTAGGCTTGAAACTTAGCCACACATAAGGGGGTGTGTTGAGAGTGTGAATCCTACATCTGGGAAAGGATGGACCTTCCAGGTGCTTATATGTAATCGAGCTACTCCATATATTGCCAATTGGTCTTATGGTTGAACCTCAACTATCTTCAATCACTGATCACCTTCTATTTTAAACTATGACTAGATGAATCCTTGATAGTTTCGAGACTCTAGAAAACTATAAAACCTTTGGTATCCAATACCAAACATCTAATGTTTTCAAACAACGAAAAACATCCTTATTTAACTAGTTGGCAAAATGAAAAAAGTTAATTTAATTGAAGGACAAATAAAAGTATATAATGTATCCCCGCAGGTGGTGCAAAGCAGTTTGTGCAGAAAGTTTCTTACTCTTATAGTCGCTCCATGTTCCATGAGCAAAGAGGCGAAGCAGATCAATGTATACAGCATATCCAGTTCCTTGAAGCTGCATTGAAATTAATTTACAAGAGTAGAAAAATAATATGGTCAAGAATCAAACAATGTCAAGTAAGATAATCAAGGAATGGTGATTTGATAGTCAAATCGAGAACCAAGAGTAAAACTTAACTACACTAATAAAGAAAGAAAATAAAATGGGACGGCATGCTTTACCCCCTTATTTCACCTTTCGCAATTCCAGTAAACAAAGTTATATCAATAACATGAAAAATAAAAGAAATTTTATTGGATTGTTAGTTAACACTAAAGAAAGCACAAATTCAATTAGCTCATCAAAGACACCATCTACTAGGCTCCAATTTCGATGCGGGATTAATACTAAGTAAGTGATCTCTTTGGGCTCTAATGGGTATCCATATTTTCCATATTTAACCAAACATGCATATCAGATATATGATTAACATTCCCTTTGTTTTAAATTTCTCAAAACGCCTTCTATTTTCTATATTGAAATAAAACACAAATTATATTGGAACTCATTCTAATTTGATATTAAAAACCACTTTCTAGTTTCTAATATTGGGATCACATACTAAATCAAACCCAAATTTACAATCTTGCATAAAACCCAAACGAGAACACTAATTACCTTCAAAATCAACAAATACTAGAAAATCTAAGGGATACCCAGAAGCTCTAAAGCATGGGACTAGCAGAATCTAAAAGCACTTAACCAAAAAGCACAAATTTGAAACAAAACCCAAATTGTATTCAGGCAAGCAACAACAAGAAAGCAAAGAGAGTTACCTCGAGCACATTGGGGACAGCCAAAATCTCAGAGAAAGCGAAAAGAGAAGGATGGGAGGTGACTTGGACTATGAGGCTGACGAGAGAGGACCCCTGGAGACTAGAGGCTTGCTTCACGAAGTGCTCGATCACTTGAGCTTGCTTCTGCTCTACCTCCATTGAACCCCTCTTTGAGAACGGAAAGAAAAAACCCAGATTTTGGTGGGAAGAGAGAGCTTTTTCTTTTCTTTTTCTTTTTTTTTGGTAAACGGAAAGAGAGAGAGCTTGAAAAGACGAATTGAAGGATGAATTTTGGTGGTTTTGGAAGAGGGAATATTGGGTCCTGTACATTTGATATTTATATTATTTTGTTTTGGGCGAAATTTATAGTAATGATCAAAAGGTTTGGGCTGGTCACCGATCGGTTTTCTCCCTTCTCATTCTCAACTCTCTCCCACTTCTCTTTTTATCTTTTTTTGGTATTATTATCTCTACAAAAAAATATAAAATATTGATGTGACTTAATTGTAACCGTTTAAGTATAAATAAAGGGAACAGGAGAGAAATTAGAAGGAGAGAGAACCTCCTCCCTACCGATCAACCCAACTGAGTAGGGTGGAGTTAAGTTAGAGTATTATTGATTTACTAAACAAGTAAATTGTAACAATGGTCAATCAACTTTAATCTAATTAGAGCAATGTTCCCTCAACTAAAAAGTCATGACCATTGGTCCCTTAACTCATCAAAACGTGCAGCTATAATTCCCTTTATCAACTCCGTCAGAATGAGTTATATTGGAGGACTATTGTTACAATTGGGTTAAAGTTGAGCGATCATTGGTAAAGTTGAGGGATAAATTCTCTAATTGGGTTAAAATTGAGCGACCTCATTTGGTTTTTTATATTTGCCCCTTGATTCAACCTCACATGCGCAATATTTGACTCATTTTGACAGAAGTTCTAACGGAGTTGACAAAAAGGACCATAGATGTGCATTTTGATGAGTTAAGGGACCAATAGTCATGATCATTATTACAATTTCCTCTATTAAATTAATAAAAGGCGGTTCTTTTAACACAAATCCCCGCGCAGAAGGAATTTTAGAAGAACGCAAAATAAAAATGAAAATGGAAATTTTATTTGAACTCATATAACCTCTTTCTATACTTAACTTACTCTCTACTCCCATATTACTTTTAATTGAATTCTTATAGAAAATAAAAACCCAAAATCAACGTATCGAAGTTCATTCTATGCCATACATGTCACTTAATTAATCTTTTATGAAGATTAGCACTGTCAGCCATGGCGTGCATTTGGAAGTGTTCATTGAATTTTTCCTCATCACAGTCGGAGGAGACAAAAATTATATGAAACTCTTTGTCTCCCACTCAAAGCATTTCATAAAGTCTCATCATCTGAGAGGTAAGAGTCTTGCAAGGCCCACACGAATTTGCTGAGAAATAGAGGCACGCCATCTTCCCATTGCATGACAATAAGGTTACCTAATAATCCAATAATTTAAACAAGATTATGTTTTAATTATCATAATCAAGATAAAAAATTCACCTCTGAAATTGAAGGCATGTTTTTCTATGCTACGAACCTACTTGAAAATCATGTTCCTATATTTTCATGAAATTGAAACATTTTTGAAGTCCAACAACCAAATTAAATTATGACTCATTGAAACAAGAGGAAGACGGGGAAGCTTTTGGAGACTACATACATGCATTTCTTTCACCAGATAGAAGGAACTCAACACCTTCAAATTCAAGGACAATCGCTATATTGCTACTATGCATTGCCATCAGAACTACAAGCAAAGTATAGCCTCCACGAATGAAACAAAAAGAAAGCATGATATTCACACAAGTACCTAGACTTTAAAATTTTAAATCCTATATATGTTTTTGCTAGTAATTATGCTTTGAAAAAGGGGTTGATTGTGAAATGAAACGAAAAAAAATTGCATAAATCGATTCATACCTTAGTTGAAGGATTCAAAACTTCACAATCATCATCTCCATCATTCAAAAAGAGCTTGTCTTTCTCTGTGAGAACGTCTTAGACTTTTAGCTAGAATGAACGGAGGAAAAAGATTCAGTGATATTAGGTTTGATTATTGGGTATAAGTTTGTTGATAAATTTTAGTTTTATTGTTGTTTGGGCCCAAAATAATGTTTTGGGCCGAGCCTGGAATTGTTCTCAGTCTAATAAGAAATATCAGGAATTTTCTTTATTATGGGCCAAGTCCAGAAGAATTTGGCCGAATCCTATCAGAAAATGGTTTTGCTTGGATAAGGGTGAAGTGGTCGAATCCTAGTGCAATAAGGGTTCTTCAGAAATTAAGGATGCTTCGAATAAAAAAAGATGTCGATTGAATTTGCGTGATTAAAGAGCTTGATTCAGAATCCTATGGGAGTTAGGATTGGTCAAAACCTAATCAGATTAGGATGAGGAATTCTAGTCCGAGTAAAATTTTAACTCGATTATCAAGGAAGTTTATACTATAAATAGAGAAGGTAGTGCATCATTTTAACCCCATCCAATTCAACACACAACTGCCCCGTGGAAACTTCTCAAACACCTTGAGATTTTTATTTTCTTTTCTCCCACCAATACATCTTCAATTTGGATAAACAGCATTGTGGATGCAACCAGCGACGTCTTCAGTTTGGATAAACAGCACTGAAGCCGTATAATTAGCCGACCGAGGAGCACCTTCAGTTTGGAAAGGGTCATCTCATCAGCCTTCTTGGCGAAGTGAGGTGTTACCAGGCTCAGCACATTGAAAGCTGAGTTTATTTTATGATTGGATATACTCAAGTACATTTTCAAGTTCGGCATTCAGACGGCCGGACCACATTTACAATCAAGATACTTATCTCTTTTAAGTATTTATGTCCGTACAGTCTGGTACCAGTTCGGCGTATTTATATTTGCACAAATATAATTACTAGGACCGAACCCGATGCCGACGATTCATGAACTTCGAACAAACTAGCAGTCTTGTCTTCAGGCTCTAGAACCCAAAAGCCGAGATGATTTCTTTCCTCAGCCACAATTGCAAGACTTCGAAATCAGCAGCGCGCCCAATGCCACATCAACATACATTTTACTGCCCACCAGAGCTCGGCTGACTAATTGGCACACCCCGCATTCAACCGAAGAACGTAGTTAGCTTGTTAATTACTCAGCATGTATGCCACGTAGGCTAGGTAGTTTTTAAGATCAACATTTTGGCATGCCCAATGGTACCCAGTGCTAAAGCTACGAAGTTCATGACCATTGAGACACGGTCAATAAAAAAAAAACAACTACCAGTTTAGCACTTATAGTTCAAAGTCAAGTCCATAGTAACGTGTCGCAGGCACATGATCTTCCTGTTGCTGTGACACCGAAAGCCACTGGCACAATTCACCGAGATACGAAAATTAATCTTGGTAGTCAGAACCATGATGTCGTGGTCTTCACCTAAACTACTAGGATGGCAAATGATGGTTTTATCGAAGGCCCAGTATAGGATTGTGACGATGACGATGAAACCTCTGGTGTACTGTCTAATTTTTTTTTTCGATGATGGTTGGAAAAACAATCTTAACAATTTAAGCAAATTTTTGGCCGAGAGATGAAAAGCGTACTTGAAGCAGTGCGTGAGAACAACTCGGTGAATAATAGGTTGCTTGAAATTCTAGTTAACAAAGCTCACGAGAATAACCCCGTCGATCAACCCAGGCAGTGCCTTTTTAAAAAAAAATGCTTCATTAAGAAGGAAAAGGATGCTGCCAATATAGGCCAAGGTAGAACTCACTTGGCCCAAGACGATCGATCTTGAAAAAACATACAATGAACCAAGCATGAGTTCGACCGAATTTGGCCTAAGAACATAAATGACATCCATGGATATGGGTGAAGTACACAGAATGATCAATTCGGCCTTGAAAAAAGGGCCAAAATTCCCAAAGTTTATCCATCCATATCCAGCCTTTGTCGAAAGGTTTGAATATCCCCGAGGATTCAAAATCCCAGATTTCAGTCTTTTTGTTGGGGAATCATCTTTGTCCTCATTCGAACATGTGGCTAGATTTATTGTCCAATGTGGAGATGTCAATAGTGATTTCCATAAACTATAGCTATTTAATTTCTTGTTGACAAGCACGGCGTTCGCATGGTACATCAACCGTCCACCAAATTCTATACAAAACTGGGAGGAACTGGTTGAGAAATTTCATAAGCAATTTTATCGACTCAAAATGGAAGTGTTAGTATCTTCTTTGGCTATAATGGCTCAGTCATCTGATAAGTCCCCAATGGAATTTCTTACCAAGTTCAAATCGGCCGTGAATTAGTGCCAAGTACCTCTCCCCGAGGTCGAATTTGTTAACCTCGCTCAGAATGGCCTAGATGTGGAATACAAGAAGAAATTCTTTGGAGCAAACTTTCGAGATATGTATGACCTGGCTCAACACGTCGAGCAATATGGTTATTTTCTTAAAGAAGAAAAAATCTCGAACACCCTAACCCGTGGGACGATTTATAAGAATCCAACGATAAGTTATGCATCCGTGAGGTGTCAAATCCCACTACGTCAATATAGACGTGGCCGAGATAGTGGTTGATTGACAAACTTTATGTATGCAAGGCATTGGCTCACTCTAGTTCCAAAGACATCAAAACATGCTCGGTGACATACCCAAACCCCGATATCCCCACGTACTAAGGTAGACACGTGTTGGCCGACACCCGAGGGTGACGAATCCATTTAAAACATGCATACAAATAAAATATATGCAATTAGAATGGTTAAACCATAGCAGGAACGTATTCAGAGCATACAACTACTAAAAATAATACGGAATGATTACGGAAAAGATACGAACAAGGGAATGATACTGATACTAAAGAGACTCGAGGATACCTCTTTTGAAATGTCCTGACGCCGAGATCAAATGCCTCAATCTTAACTCATGAAGGGGCGCAAAACCAGAAAAGGTGTGTGGACTAAAGTTTATAATAATACTAATAATAGGGAAACCATTTTGTTTATGAACATAATAACACTTTGTTTTGAAAATACATATATAATACTACATATAGGTTTTATGAAAAACCCTAGCCTGCCATGTAAACCATTCGTCAAAACATGTATGTAAAAACCCGTGCTCATAAATGGTAATAACGCCTAAAGGTAAATTCGTAAATGTCATTAGTGAGGTACTCAACTAGAGGTATCATAGTTGCCTGAAGGAAGTACCTGTTCATCACCTGAAGGTGAAGCTGTATAACTTGTCCATCACCCGAAGGTGAAGCTGAATAACCTGTCCATCACCATTAGGTGAAGCTGAATCA